AATCCCAGCACTCTAGAGGCAGAGGCTGGCACATGTTAGTGAGTATGAGGCCAGCGTGGTCTACAGAGTGAGTTCTAGGCTTGCCAGGGCTACAAGGGGGGAAACTCTATCTCAAAACAACCAGAAACTTAATGTTTTGTCTAAACATTAATTTGAGAATTCCTTTCCTGTCCTTTTTCTTGTCTACTGAGGAGTGATAGTCAACTGGCATTAGGTAACTTTATGGGAGGAACGACGCCACTTCATACTTTAGGGCTCTCCTAGTGAGCCAGGAGCCACGCCCCTTTGTCCCTGTCAGCTGGGTTTGCCCTTTCTCTACAAAGAGAGGGAGAAACAAGTATCAATCAGGCCAGCACCCAGGGCCAAATGTCGGGACCTAGTTACCAAGTAACCAGCAGTTGGAGTGCCAGTGATTTCTCAGCTAAATTCATAGCTGGGAGGGCACATGACTAAAATTGATAATGTTCCAATCAAATGAAAATATTAAATTTCAACATGAAGAAGAGTAAAATTCTTACTTTTTAAAATAATTTACTCTTTTGGCAAAAAAATGTACTGAAACTTAACTGCAGAAATGACAAAGCAGAGTAATTCAAAGGAGGGACTGTGGAACTGAAAGGTTTCTCCGGAAGCTTGACAGTGCTTATGATGAGATGGATATTGTCTGGATGCCTAACCCAAATATTCAGACAATAGAAACCGAATGAACTCGCTTTTCTCTTTTAAATCATACTATTAAGTTGAGATATATTTTCATAATGTCCAAAACCTTCATAAAACTCTACAATAATCCCAAGAGTTTTAAAGCTATAAAGCTATAACTCATCTTTTTTTTTTTTTTTTTTTTGATTTTCGAGACAGGGTTTCTCTGTGTAGCTTTGTGCCTTTCCTGAATCTTGCTCTGTAGACCAGGTTGGCCTCAAACTCACAAAGATCCACTTGCCTCTGCCTCCCGAGTGCTGGGATTAAAAAAGGCGTGCGCCACCATTGCCCGGCAACTATAACTCATCTTTAAATTCAGTTAACTCTGTGGGTTTGTCCAGGGCCATGTGTCGGTGTGACCTGAGAAGCAATATTCAATCACTTCAGGAAGACATGAATTCAAGAGAAGGGCCAGTCGCCAAATCGAGTGAGGAGGCCTTCCAGCCTTCCTAAAGTGCTGTACTTGGTGGTTCAGACTCCAGCTGCTGCCTGCTGTGCTGTCTGCGGCAGTGCGGATCTGACCACAGACATTCCAACAAGCAACAGTGGCTGGACTCTAAGCATTCCTTACGTTCATCATTTGTCAAAAACCAAAACGAAACCCTCATCTGAATTTGAATTGCGAAACAAGGGTCATCTATCCTAAGGCTTCCTACTTCTGTGATTGCTGCTCCCAAGGCCATTTAGAACTGACTTCTGGTTTTACTTCCCCAGCAAGCACAAAACAAGCAGGTGAAGGATTCATAACTCAAGAGATGATGTAAATGAATACAGGGTCATCTTGGAATATTCACTGTAAACTGGAATTCTCAAATACTTACACTCTGAAGTGTTAGTTTGGTACAAGCTGTATTTGGGATTTATGATTCCAGAGGGCTTATTTATCTGACAAGGGCCCGGACATTTAAAATCTCTGCAGACACATTTTAGAAAGCGTGCACACTGGACACCTGCAAAGCAGTTACTAAGCTTGTTTGAAATGGAGACAACAATAACATGGGTAGAACAGACAACCATGTCAATCAAAATGTCAACTGTAAAATATTAGGCAAAAGTATCACACACACACGCACACACGCACGCACGCACGCACAAAGCACGAGAAGAACTATTTGGGGGAATGAAAGGGGAAAATGAAGATAGAGAAGTCAGGGGAGAGAAAGAGGGATGAATGTAAGTAAGGTACAACAGTATCTATGCATGCAAACATCACATTATTCTGGCCGGGCGGTGGTGGCGCATGCCTTTAATCCCAGCACTCGGGAGGCAAAGGCAGGTGGATCTTTGTGAGTTCGAGGCCAGCCTGGGCTACCAAGTGAGTTCCAGGAAAGGTGCAAAGCTACACAGAGAAACTCTGTCTTGAAAAAAACCAAAAAAAAAAAAAACCCAAAAAACAAAAAAACAAACAACAACAACAAAACCATTATTCTGTATGCTAAGTAAAAATAAAACATAAAAGTGGATTAATCTCACAAAATTACACTACCTATGAGACTTTAGAAAAAACAATAAATACACACAAAAGTTTAAGAAACAGTGACTGACAGGACAGGCAGTGGCGTAGCGGCTGACTGGGGTTGAAGAAAAGCCAAGGAGGAACCACAGACAGCCATGAAAGAATAGGAAGGTGACAGATGTGTTCACTGCCGTGCTGGGGTAAAGCTTTCAAAGGCTTATATAAATGTCAGTAAATACATATTTTATGCACACTAGTCTGTATTGTGCATCAAACACCTCCCATTAAGCCAGCTTTTAAAAAGAAAGGAAAGGGAAAAATTCATGGGTATAAGTGAAGATGTTTGGCAGTTACTTTCTCAAAAGTGAAGAGAGCTTCACTCTTTAAAGAAAAAGGCTGCAATAAAAAAAATCTCTTAAATTAAAATTAAAATTTGAGGAAACATGCTTTTGCTACCATGAGCATGAGTGTCCCCATTAGTTTCCTAGTAAGATTACGTGAGACATTAATGAATGTGCTCTTTGGATACTATATAATGATTGTGTCACTATTAGAAAGATCTGTATTCCCTAATGACCCAGTGTTTTCCAAATGACTCAATCATAATGCTGCAGAGTCATGCATGAGCAAAGGGTACATTTTAATTGCATATCAACCAATGGACTTAATATAACCTTGTATGAAAAAGCTCATTAATAGAGTTTTAGTTTCCACAATTCAACTAGTCTTTAAGAAAATGTAGTAAAATCTACTGTGGTAGGCAGAACTGAAAGATGGTGTCCCAACATGTCCCACTATAACCTCAGGATACTACAGACATTAGATACCACTCTCATAAATAAGTTCAGTCATATGGCAGAGCTGACCTTCATACAGGGAGATTATCTAAGTGGACCTGATCTCATTACATCAAGTCCCCAGCTGGTAAGTGTAAACCTGTAAATCTAATACCAGTGAAGTGTCAGGCATGGCAAACATGTGCTATTGAAGATGCACAGACCTGTGAGAAGGAGCTGAGATACAGAGCTGAGAACCACTGGTAGTACAGACAGGATTCTGCCAATACCTAAGCAATCCTGATAGTAGATTAGTCTCAAAAGTCCCCAGTAAGAGCTCAGCCTCACATTTTAACATAGTCCTGCGAAAATCCAGTCGAGGTTCACCTTCTAACGGACTCTACGGTGAGGTAATGAGTGAGGTGCGTTAAGCTCCTAGACTACAGAAGTGCGTTAGGAGCTCCACACTTGTCAAGGCAAGGCAGGCATCAAGTTGAATGAGTCACACGGCTGAGTTTATCTCCAAAGAAGGTCACAAGAGTGGAAAGTGCTTGAGTACTGTTTGCAAAAACAAAGAGAAAAAAGAAAAGACAAAGCAAACAGGCACAGAAAGTCAACTCCAGTACCGGCCAGATAAACCACAGCAACTTCACAAAAAAGAAAGCTTTACAGTGACGCCAAGAGACAGGTAGAAGGGACTGGCGATTATGAAACAGTAACATCCCCACAAGTTAAGCAGACAGAAAAAGTCAAGACACGAGCAAGTGCTGCGGCCCAGGAAGACCACTGGCCCGGTGACTAGAAGACGTTCACTTTCATGATGTGTCCAAAGCAGCACATTATACCTGTCACTGCATGTATATGTGCCTGGCTACGGTACACAACTCTCTTTGGTTTTATTCAGTTCCTGTCTGCCATCTGAACTGTGCACCCATGCTAACGAGAGTCACTTCAAGTTTGGCCCACCTCCCAAACCTAAGCTTTTTAGTAGCATTTCTTACTAACCAAGAACTTCCCCTGCGCCTACACAAATGTCAGCATGTACCTGTGTAAACATCTATTCTAATAATAACTATACACCATTCAACTGTTCCTAAGTTTTCAGACTGTGCTCATTCATGTACAGGTCATGCCAGCATTCGGTACACCTAACACAGACAGTGCCGTTTCGATGAAGTTAGTGGTAATCTATGTGTGCTGCAGCTACGTTGATAGCTGGAGTATTTCAGTAGCAAGCAGAGCAGTGAGATAAGACAGGATGCTCACCCGACAGTGGGAGCATTCTACCGGCCATATTCGCCAGGGAGTCTACAACACTGGGTTTACTCTAAGGATCTGAACTACAGTTACAAATAATTTTCATATTCGTTTAACCTTCTTTTAAAGTAAGCGAGGTAGACACGACAAGGGCAAAACAAACCCTTTTTGGTTACAAAGCACTGTAAACTGTATCAAGACCAAAGTTTATCTCTGCATTTGTGCACAACAGGGAGAAAGGCAGCGAGAAAAACTTAAACACACTATGTCAGTTTGAGGTTGCCCATGCGTGTTGCTACACGTTGTTAAAGAACTCAAGGCATGAAAGTGTCCCGAGAAGACTCCCAGGGAGCTCACCCTTGTATTAGCCACACAGAAAAGCAGCACAGAACCCACAAGTGACCGTGAAGCCCAGGAGATTTTGAAACAAAAAGAGAATGTGTGGAGGTGGACCCCGACTGACACCCAAGGATGAAATGTAAGACGGTTCTTACACTGCTGTCATGTGATACTAATACTCAGTGTCTCTAAGCAGCTTTTCACACACAACCATTCTATATAGCTGAACTCCATGTGTAACTACACTCAAATAAATCTGTCTCAAAAAGTGTTGGCTGACATTTTCTAGAAAACAGAAACATGTTAAGGCCTATAAAAATATTGAGTATATATACAGGCTTTGTTATCAGGAAATAGTTATGCAAAACTCCTTGGAAACTTTATAAGGAAACATCAAAGAGACTGAACATATAAATGCAATAAACCACTATATCAAAATGTCATCAAGTAAAGCTCTAAAATATAATTACCTGGGACCAGTTCCATAATGATGTAGACAGGTTGTCTTTGGGTGCACACGCCTATAAGTTTGACAATATTGGGGTGATCGTATTGCTTGAGAATTCTAGATGAGAAAAAAGTATAAACTTATCAGTTGAATAAAAAAAGCTTTAATTTGTGATCATTATCATAACAATGTGTGCAACTAGAATATACTTTAATCATAACTCAATATAAAAAATATCAGTATGACCTGAAATTCTGGTGAGATGCATATCAACAGGTATTGATAAATATGGGCGGCATAGCACAAATGCAAATGAGCTGATCATCCTTAAATATTTATTTAAAAATTGGAACCAACTCTGATGCTTAATCATCAGGCTAATTAGGAATGACACATGAAATTCACTTCAAAACATCTAGCCATCCTCAAATCATCCCACACTGGCAAATGTTAGACATTACTTCACAACATGGTAGGTTTCCGAGGGCAGAAACAAGAGTTTTTAAAAAATGGGCTAACAGAAGTTAGAAGTTAGATCAAATGAAGGAGTTTCAACCCAGGCTGAGGCTGAATTGTTGCGGAGTTAGTTTAGATAAACACAATATTTCAGTAGAGGTTATACAGTAAGAATCAATCCTTAGCAGAACATCAGGCATGAGCTAAAAATAGAATAAATCTCTTAGACCCCTTTTTACCCTGGCATTATAACTCACTCCTATGGGAAAACTGCCACTTTCTTTCCTATGAAAATGAAAAGAATAACTGGAGAAAAAATGTATTTGTGCATACACAAATAAAGAAGGACAAACTCTAAGAAAAACATTTACATTTTAGATTTAAAATAATGATTTATAAATGAAAATCAACTAGGAATAATTCTATAGATAAAGAAGATACTGTTAATGACTTACAAAATTTCTAACAGAAATTAAAATCAAGTTCCAACAATATTTGACTTTAATACAAAATATTGCTGGGCAGTGGTGGTGCACACCTTAAATCCCAGCACTCACAAAGAAGAGGCAGGTGGATCTCTGTGAGTTTGAAGCCAGCTTGGTCTACAAAGAGAGTTTCAGGATAGTCAGGGCTATACAGAGAAACCCTGTCTCGAAAAACCAACAAATCAAAACAAACAAACAAAAAAAACCCAAACCAAAATGGCATTTGTAAAGTTGGAAGACAGCAATGAGGAAACCGCACAGAACAGCCAGCTGCACGATGTAACGGGTGTGTAAGGAGGAACGCTCAGCAGCCTGAGTGCACAGCTCCATGATGTAACGGGTGTGTAAGGAGGAACGCTCAGCAGCCTGAGTGCACAGCTCCATGATGTAACGGGTGTGTAAGGAGGAACGCTCAGCAGCCTGAGTGCACAGCTCCATGATATAACAGGTGTGTAAGGAGGAACGCTCAGCAGCCTGAGTGCACAGCTCCATGATGTAACGGGTGTGTAAGGAGGAACGCTCAGCAGCCTGAGTGCACAGCTCCATGATATAATGGGTGTGTAAGGAGGAACGCTCAGCAGCCTGAGCGCACAGCTCCATGATGTAACGGGTGTGTAAGGAGGAATGCTCAGCAGCCTGAGCGCACAGCTCCATGATATAACAGGTGTGTAAGGAGGAACGCTCAGCAGCCTGAGTGCACAGCTCCATGATGTAACGGTGTGTAAGGAGGAACGCTCAGCAGCCTGAGCGCACAGCTCCATGATGTAACGGGTGTGTAAGGAGGAACGCTCAGCAGCTTGAGTGCACAGCTCCATGATGTAACGGGTGTGTAAGGAGGAACGCTCAGCAGCCTGAGTGCACAGCTCCATGATGTAATGTGTGCGTAAGGAGGAACGCTCAGCAGCCTGAGCACACAGCTCCATGATGTAACGGGTGTGTAAGGAGGAACGCTCAGCAGCCTGAGTGCACAGCTCCATGATGTAACGGGTGTGTAAGGAGGAACGCTCAGCAGCCTGAGTGCACAGCTCCATGATGTAATGGGTGTGTAAGGAGGAATGCTCAGCAGCCTGAGTGCACAGCTCCATGATGTAATGGGTGTGTAAGGAGGAACGCTCAGCAGCCTGAGCGCACAGCTCCATGATGTAATGGTTGTGTAAGGAGGAATGCTCAGCAGCCTGAGTGCACAGCTCCATGATGCAATGGGTGTGTAAGGAGGAACGCTCAGCAGCCTGAGTGCACAGCTCCATGATGTAATGGGTGTGTAAGGAGGAACGCTCAGCAGCCTGAGTGGACAGAATCTACATTTCTAATACCAAACTTGGTAATTCCAGTTAAAAAGAAATTAAACCTTTCAGTTTACAAAACAATCACAAGTTTGTAAGTAAGAAAAATGTTTTGAGGCAATGTGAACCATCACCTTCCACCCTAAGAATGACTGCTAACTGTCCATGGAATTTCCAATGATGGACATGAAAAGACTACAACTCCTCAGACAGTATTTAAGTACTTAAGATTTACCTTTACTCCATGGCCACAGACATTTAGATTCTGACTAGAGATGTACATGAAGACATCTGTGCCATGAGCTCAGCCCCTCTCATGTCGTCTCCTCTGACCTCACCACCCACCCAACATTCTATTCAACTCCCCCATATCTGTATGTTCAAATTATATTTTCAGTTCTTAAATATGAAATTGGTATACTTAACTATCTGCAGAATGGGGATAGGTAAGATGGATCATTCAATTTTAGTTAACAATATAATACAGAGAAGACATCTTAGAAAAGAAAGGGTTTTTAACAAATGCCAGACACAAAACAGAAATCTGAGATTCTTGGGAAAGGAATCAAATTTATAATACCCAGCAAGAGTACAAGATATGTAAATATAGCTAAAGGTATACAAGATGTGTATTTAACAATGTTTTATTACAAATATAACTACAGCATTGCATATAAAAACATGTGTGGAAGATAAAAAATGCTGCAGTATTTTCAGGATCTGGAGAATAGGTACACTGTTGATGCCCCATTGCTAGCATGCCTGCTTGACTGGTCTGCAGGCTAGCTCAAACCAGAGACTGTTCCTACACCATCAGAGGGCTCACTCCGGAAGGTTCCAGAAGTGTTGACTTCTACTTCAGCAAACCACAGCTTAGGAGATGTTTTGAAACTTACCTCACAGCAAATTTCATACAGCAGAATGACAATGCTAATGGATTATAAACACACATTTTTGTATTATTTTAAAGAACTCACTTGGCTTCCTGTAAAAACTTGATTTTTAGTTCCTGAGGAAGATCTTCTTTGCATGTTTTAACAGCAACAGCAGTTTTATCCTTTAGTGTACCCTTATATACTTCACCAAAATTCCCCTGGAAATAAGAATATAAGCATTGTTTGGCATGTTTGACAGCCCATAAATCTTTGCTAAAAATTCAAGAAAGCACCAAATGAAGTACTGTGAGTTAACCAAACTACTGTACTATCCATTACCAACTCTGGGTTGTCATGAGGATGGACGTCAGTCTTCCACATTACCACAAGTTAATCTTTGGCTTCAGCAAAAGGAGAACTCGACATTAACTTAACACGGCCTTAAGTATGTAGGCTTTCTTCCACCAACTACTTTATCCCTTAAACACTGTATTTTATTAAATTAAAGATCACCGTGACTATAGATAAAGCAAAGATTCTGAGAGGAAACTGCTGGCACTGATCCTAACAACCATGTCTTCTGTAGAAATAGGTTGTCCAACAGGGTGGAAAGCGGCTTACTCAAGCATCACTATCACCAATGGTGAACCAATATTCATCATATGTACGAACACTGCTAACTTCCCTCTATGGCTAACATCTACTTTGATATATATGCCTTATAGTAAACATACTTAGGAAGAGAAGAAATCCACACTCCAGAAAAGATCAGCACGACTATCACCTTCTCAAAGAGCTAGATTTTCAGTACTCCCCAGGTTATTACTGTCCCGTGTTCTTGTAATTCTCAGTGTTGAGACCTGGTCGTTCAGCTCTTTCCACTCTCCCTCATCATGGCTGTCACCTACTGAAAATACTTTCCTTTGCTCACTGGCACTTTGAACTCAAGTGTCACTGTCTCTCTACCTACTCAAACATGGCTAAAGACCTTAGCCCTGCTGCTGAATTCACTGCAAATTCACAAACAAAACCCTTTAAGAGCCCTTACTGTGGCTTGGCTACTTTTTCTAGATCATTTGAAATCCTAGTCTTTTGGACAACACCTTCTATGCTTTTTTGAATACTCCCTTCATTCTTAGCTGATGATGTCACTTCTGAAACAAAAACAAAAAAAAAAAACCTCAAAGTAATCTCCATGGAGTTATGGACTCTCAGTTGCATATTCACCTACCATCTTTGTTCCTGAGTTACACAGGCTATGTTGCGCTTATGTGTAAACACTGTGTGTTAATGTTCCACTGTGAACATCTCATGCTGTCCTTACCTAGCTGTAGCAACTCATAACACTCAAATCCTAAAGCCTCCAATGAGCTCTTTCCCAGCTACAGACCAAGATGCCATTCTTCTACAAAGTAACTGACCATACAGCCACCATGCCTTGGCTTCCTTTGCAGCAGAGTTAGACTTACAGCCTTGCCATCCCAGGCCTCTCTTAAACCACCCTGACTAGGTTGTAACAAGGTTGCCAGCCATTACCACTGGCATCTTGCAAACCCAGTGCTTCATTCTCAGCACCCCCTGCGCGCCCCCCCTTACACACACACACACACACACACACACACACACACACACACACACACACACACACACACGGCAGGAGTCTCCACTCCCTGGCTTAGCGTCTCTGATTCTCAGCCCCTGACTCCAGGCAGCAGCCTCTACTCCCTGGCTTAGCGTGTCTTAGTCTCTAAGGTATAATAACAGTTCCTGGTTTTCTGCCTTCCTAATTGGTTACTTTCTTCAACTCCCTCTGAGGACTGCTTTTTCTTCTCCTAGCCTCTTGGTGCTGGAATGACCAGGGCTCAGTTCTTACCCTCTTCTTTATGAAGGCCCACTCCCAACTACTATTCTAGAACAGTCATCTTGTTTAACCTCAGCGCTTGTTACTCAACTGGCTTTCCTCACTGTCCTGCAGAAATCTAACAGATAAAGTTGGTGTATCACACACTTTTAATCTTGTTTCCAGAAACCTGCTACACTTAGAGCTGAGTTCTGTCTTTCAACTGCTACAACATCCATTAAGAGATACAACTGGGGGCTGGAGAGATGGCTCAGAGGTTAAGAGCACTGGCTGCTCTTCCAGAGGTCCTGAGTTCAATTCCCAGCAACCACATGGTGGCTCACAACCATCTGTAATGAGATCTGGTGCCCTCTTCTGGCCTGCAGTCATACATGCAGGCAGAACACTGTATACATAATAAATAAATAAACCTTTAAAAAAAAAGAGATACAACTGGTTCAACTTCAACATATATCTGAATTTCTTACCTCCCAGTGGCAACCCCCCGTCCTGGCATCGGTTTTCATTTATCTAACTGCACTTCTCTCCTAAGCTTTCAACTCACCACGCCCAGAACCACCTTCCCAGAGTAACTATCCTGCTCTATGGAAAATCACCCAGCAGCTCCACGCTCCCTTCACAATGAAAGTTAGAGGTGTCATGAAATCCGGTCAGGCCCCTATGATGTGCATCCTCGTCATCTCGCTGACTTCCTCCTCCTAGAAATCCCTTTACTTGTTGGATCACAACCAAACTGTCTTTTGCTTGGCAGGTGAGTTCTGCACTGGCTAATCTCTTTGCCTTATGCTCACTGTCAGCTGTCCACATGGCTCAGTGGTGTTTCCAGCAAGTTTTAATTCAAAGGTAATCCGCAGTAAGATCTGCCTGGATTTCCTTTTAAGAAGGGCAACACCCACTACCAAGCAGCCCCAGGCCCGCTCCACTTCAGGACTCAGCACCCTCTAACATAAAAGGTGTTCATTTCAGTGCCTCATGGTCACCTGTCTTTCTGCTAGTCACAGCAGAGGAATTATGGGCATGAGGGATTCTCTCTGCTTCTTCACGGACACACACCCACATCCAGGGGTGTGTGACACACACAGGCACACAGTAATTGTTGGGTGACTCCAATGTCAACTGCAGTGGAAGGCTTTGGTACTGAATGAAGATGTTAGTTTCTGCCATTACTTAACAACTACTACTAAAAAGTTTGGCTCTCTTTGAACTATTCATGCATTCTCAGTGTACAATAAATATTCAGAAAAGGTAGTAAAATATTAATGACAAATTACTTTCCAGTATTGTGAAATACTAGATAAAGTTAAGCTAAATAATATCTCTTTAAAAACATTTCTTTAAAATATTTAAATTTATTGAAACTCTCATGTCTAGTCGTTAAAAAGTAATTATTCTATGAAATAGCCTTAGTAAGAAAAAAATTCTTGAATAATCATACTTAAAGTAAACATAAAAATTATTACACACACACACACACACACACACACACACACACACACACACACACTCGCATGCACGCATGAACCCAGTTACGGCTGTGCATGCCTTCAATCCCCACCCTTGGGAGGCTGGGGCATAAGGGACTCTGGGAGTTTGAGGCTAGTCTGGTTACATAGCAAGTCCCGGGACAGCCAGGGCTATACATGAGTCTCAAAACAAACAAATAAAAAATTAGAACATATTCTCTAATTAAAAATATTTTTCTTTGTATTGAAAAAAATCTGTCCTTGTAAACACAGTCTACTTCAGTATTTTAGTTTTGAATTAAATTTATCATTTAATTGTATTTTCAAGGAAATTAGTTTCTCTGTAGTAAGTTTGAACCCAACTGCTTCTATTGGGTTACTCAAGCATTATTATTATCGTATTTAGGACTATTTCCTTCTGAATTAGGAGAGCACTCAGAGTAAAGGGAACTGCCTCTTTTAGCTTAGGTTCTTTAGAATTAACTTATAGAAATGTATCAGCAAATAAAACCTGTTTTACCATAGCAACTAGACGCTTCCACTTGGAGAAGGCATGTAAATAAACAGCAGTTGCTGAAAATCCTGCAAAGGGGACTCCAACAAGGGCCTGTGGCCTTCATAAGCTGAATGTTTTTGAAAATTGCAAGAAATGGTCACGTTCACTTTGGAATAAAGATGGATCATTTATTCCTTTACTTAAAATGCCAGACCTCAGTTGAGTCCAGCACTGATCACTCATAAGTTATATATAAACTTTCCAATAACAGTATCTGAATTTTACCTACTTTTTTCACAGTGCATCATGAAGCTAAATTCAACTCAAATTTCACACAGAAACATCCACAATTGTCACTGGCAAACTACTATGCATTCACTAGAACCTGAATAATAATGATTGGCAGATCTGTGAAGAGTCTATTTGACTAGCCTGCCTTTATTGTTGGAAATAATGCATTTTAATACAGACTACGATTTGGAGGAGACTTCCAACTAGATTACAGGAAAAGAAACTTTCACTCTATAAGACTTGTCCTTACCCACAACTAACAGAGCCAGTTACAAAACAGGTACTTGAAATGAAACACATCTTGTCCACAATATTTAAATAAATTTGTGTTTCCTGTGGGGGAGTGTGTACGTTCCACAGCACATGTAGAGGTCAGAAGCTGGTTTTCTCCTACCATGTAGGTTCCTGGTAGTGAACTCAGGTAGCCAGGCTTGGTGGTAAGCACCTCTATCCCTATACCATCTCCCCAGCCCTTGCCCACATTATATTTACATTATGATAAAGTGGTGTTATGCACTTTCCTGATATTCCAAGAAGCAACACTTCACTTTTTCTGAATTACTGAATACCAGTGGAAGAAGACTGACTGGTGAAGGTCCATTCAAACTTCACTGCCTCACAGCTTCTTTCCTTCATTCAACAGTTTTTGGTTTTAATAAAACCATGATGGCTGTGACCTTCGAGGGAAAATACACACTATTTTTAAAGATAAAATCATCCTAAGCCTTTCTAAGACCATCACACATCAATTTCAGGGAAAGTCAGAAGATTTCTAGGAGATATGATACTGCCTTCTTCTAGATTAACTAATTAAAACACATGCACCTTGACATGTGACAGAATATTAAAAAATGCTTTGAACAGCAATATGAAGTGCTCATGGTTAATATGAAAATCTCTTATTTAGCTCGGCTGATTGCATACCTTGCCCAGTAATGCTCCCAATGTAACATCTTCATGATTGAGAATCCATTTCTTATCCTACAGCAAAAAGAAAGAAAAAGATGAACTGTTAATACATGCAAGAATACAGTTATTGTAAATTCCTTTGAGGAAGTAAGTGCAGCCAATAGCACATGAAGAAGCTGTAACTTCAACCTGATACAAAATAGATCCGGGAGAGGTTACTGTACTGTCAGATAGTAAAATCAATACTGCAGCAAAACTCTTTCAGAAACTGCAGCTTCAAAACGAAGCTATACCAACCTGAGAGCAACACACAAGGTATGCTTTGCACCTACCACAAAGCCACGACTATGTTAATGTCTTTTTGAAAAAGTTGTGTTATAGTTAGTACATCAGAGTTTCACTTTACCATGAAAAATTTCCAGTTCTCACCTATCTTCAAAAACATTCTCTTCCATGAACCACATTCCTAAGAGTTAATTTTTATGCACGCAAACATTATGACTTGCAGCTTTCTGTAACATTGCTCATAGTCCTCATATCTTTCCCAGCCTTTCCTGTAGCATAACAAAGCACCAAGCATCAAGCACAATACCACCAGGATGTGCAAGACCGTGATATGAACATGCCATTGTAAAATGGTGTCTCCTCGTCTGAGTGTAGGAACCAACTACCACGAAGGGAGCACACCATGCGAAACCATGTAGGTACAAAATCACATTATAGTACAATTTTTATATTAGATAGAAACATAATTATGACCTATAGTATGAGTCATAATAGGTAATCAAATATATTGAAGTAAAAATGCAAGTGGTTGGAAAATGTCCTCTGACAGTCATATGAAGTTCTCCATCTTTAGAAATGTCATGTGACAAACATTCACCTATCACTCTCTGACAGACAAGTTACCCACAGGCCACTTTGTTTTTATTATTATTTTTTTTATTTTTTTTAGGTTTTTCGAGACAGGGTTTCTCTGTGCAGCTTTGCGCCTTTCCTGGATCTCGCTCTCTAGACCAGGCTGGCCTCGAACTCACAAAGATCCACCTGCCTCTGCCTCCCAAGTGCTGGGATTAAAGGCGTGCGCCACCACTGCCCGGCCACTTTGTTTTTAAAGTGCAACTTACATAAATAATATTTCAATCTAAATGTTAAGCTAAAGCAATGGAGATTAAGAAACATAAGGAGAACTGTCAGTGGCCATGTGTGGGGACTAACAGGCAGAACTGGAACTCATGGAACATGGCTGGGTGGTTGGCAAAGCCATGCCTGAGTGAGTCTTGGAGAGGCAAAACCCCCAAGGATTCTGTGTCCTCATTATGTTATTGACCATAGCTCTGACAGCTGCCTTCGTGGTTCCAACACCCCTCATGATCTATGGGTTGTATGCCTTTTGTTGGAGGAGATGCGTCACTGAGGGTCAGTTTCAAAAACCCACGCTAGGTCCAGGCTTGCTCTCTCTCTGCCCCATCTTGCAGATAAGATGTAAGCTCTCAGCTACTGCTCCAGTCCCATGCCTACCTGCCTACTGCCATGATGATCATGGACTAACCATCTGAAACTGTAAGCAAGCCCCCAGTTAAATGTCTTAATTGCTAAGTTGTCTTTTCACAGCAATAGAACAATAACTAAGACAGAAGACATCTTCTAACAACTAAAACAAACGTAGAAATAATTTCCAAACACACTCGGTAACTAAGCAATATATGTCTTAATAATCCATAGTGTTTTTTAAGGTTTTGGAAAATTGGGTAAAAACTAAAACAATATGAAAATTTATCAGAAATTGTAGGATACAGCTAAACAGTATTTAAAGGGAAATCTATAATATATCATAGGTATATTGAAAAACAAAAGTTCTCAAGTCAATGACTAAGATATGTATCTTAAAGATATAGCTAAAAGGAAATCTAATGCTAGAGAAGGCAATACTAAACACAACAGAAATCAGCAATAATCTTTAAAGATTCAAAGCGATAGAGAACTGACTTAATGCTTGGCTCTGTCTCTGCTCATAGTTAGGACCGAATCTGACCCATGTACAAAGTTTCCATTAGAAACCAGGAGTGACTTCTTTCCAGACTGATTTCATGGCAAGATAATGTAGTCAACAATAATTTCCAAGTCACTTAAGGATGTATTTAAATAATGTTACTGCAAAAAAAAAAAAAAAAGGTTATCACTTTCTTTCTTGGCTAAATGCAAGAAATATCCTTGAGCCTCTTGGCAGATGTCAGAGATGCCAGAAGTGTTTGAGGCTCTGATTCCCTGAACTGGATCCTAAATGATTTCAGACGTACCTCTTCAGAGTAGAGGAATGTAAGAGTACCAGCAAAGATCCATCACAAATACAATCTCTGACCTGGGTGGATACCTACCGCTCCAGTTGGTAGGGTACATCACCCAGCTAATGGATTGATCACCCCTTGGAAGGTGAGTTCACCTTCATCTATGAAAGAGATTGCTGAGATAATTTTCCCTTTGTTGAGATGCTATGATTCTTTCTTGGAAACCCCACCTGAGTGGAGTCCCTGCAAGCCGAGCAGCCATGAAGTTTCAGCTGGACCAGCCTGCCTTTCTGAATCCTAAGAAAGGTGTAACTTTTCCTTTTTGTCTGGTTCCTTCAGATGCCGGCCAGAACCTACGTGTGGTCTCTGGGCTTCCTTGCTCTTCCTCTAAAGTTTCCCTCCCTTCTATGAGCTGCCTGTCTGCCATGTGGCTGACCTCCATGCTGCCTTAAACAGCATGCCTATTTTTCCTTTCTCTTCATCCTCCTTCTCCAGAAGGTTTCTGAGATCTGTAGCTTGCTTGTCTTGGGATGTTTTTATTTTAAACTCTACTGAGTTTGTCCTCCAGATTTTTTTAAGGTAATGTGTAAGATGATAACTACACTGGTCAGCCTGATACAAGCATCCACAGTGCACCTGCAGCAAAGCACCACAATGCTTACCTTCCTTGGTGATGACCTGCTTCTTCTAAATCAACCAAGACTTAAAAAGAGAAGAGTCTGTTTTTATCAGAATTTGGTAGCTACAGTTTTTGTTAAAGTGTGGGCTGAGAGGCAAACTCTCGGTCTGTTCAATTGGACGAAGAGAGGAGCACTGAACACATACCCCCCAAAAGGGGAATTACCTAGCATCTCCCTTAGACAGTGGATGGAATATTCTTACTGAGGCTGATGAGTGGATGAGAAAGGCAAGGAACCCTGGTTATACAAAGATATTAAAATTTCCCCAAACCTGTGGAGTTTACACAGGCATACAACCCATAGATTATGAAGGATGTGGTGAGTGCATTATGAAACTCAAAAGTAAAACTATGGAACAGGAGGCTAGGTAGCATGGATAGCGAATGGACTGTTTCTGGAGGGGCAGGAATTCCTGACTTTTCTTTATTTCTGCCACCCGCTTCTATTTCTTTTTCTAATCAAAGTCATACTCTGAAGTGGTGGTCCAAAAAAAAAAAAAAAAAAAATTCTAACACATGCTCCCAAATAAAGTGACTTCCCCCTACATTTCTGCTTTCTTCCTTTGTTGCTTTCTGAAAGGGTAAGAGGGCTCGTGTAGCTTTCTTCAATCTTGAAAGCACAGAACGAATAGAAGGAGTCTGCTTCTCATCCTTCCAGACACAGGCAAAGTGGCTTTCTCTCACACTTGACGTGTATCAGTAAGGAAGGAAAATAAAGCCTGTGAGGGGCGGCTTGGCAGCTGAGAACAAGTGTTCTTGCAGAGGACCCAGGGGTGGGTCCGACCACCCCCACGCAGCTCTCAAGCCATCTACAACTCCAGGCCCCGCGGATCCAACGCCTTCTGCTGGGCTCTGCAGCACGTGTCGTGCCATGCATAGACAGACATTTAGGCAAACACCGTTCATAGGAAATAACACAACTTTATAAAAGAGTGCAATAAAATATGCCATCGACAGAGACACAGCCGTGGAAGGTGCACAACAGTGATACACAAAGCCGACACAGTTTTATTTAATGGCCATCTGTTTGCTAGTGATTTGTGACCTTATTAAAAACCCACAGACCTACGTTCAAACTCTAATGATTACGCTTGTCTGATGTTGAGCTTCAAGAGATCTGGCTTAGATATTTAATGTGTTTCTAATATTAGGATCCCATCCCTTTGGTGCGTTCATGAATACTAATGTATCATTATCATGGCAAAAGAAATCAATATCCATTTCTCTATTTATTAATTCTATCTCAACACCCAAAACTATGTTATTTTGAAACATAAGATTCTTTTGGTTTCAACTGGAGATTTCATTTTTTTAAATATATTTTTTGCTATTCTTTGAGAAATTCTCTTAAAAACCACTGGAGGTTAACTCACTTCACAGTATCCACAAATCAAAGAAATTAAGAACTGCTAGAAGATTTAAGGTTGGCCTACATAGAGATACAGGCGATCTCTTTGATTTGTCTAAATGAAAGCTTATATAAAGTTCCCCTGGACATGTTTCCACATACACTTGCTGAATCTGGGAAGAATGCCCCGTTATGTTGGAACTGCCTAGAAAGGCATTGTTTCCACATTCTCTAGATGAGAAAACAGAGGCTTGAGAGGTTAATGTTGTCCAGGGTCCAAGGCACTCAGTGACAGAGCTAAGAAGCTTGTCCTTTGTCCCTTCTCCTGTACTGCAATATGGAAGCACCACCACCACCGTGCACACGAGTCCGTCAGGGAATTCAGCGCTTCGGACTGTGTTGAGTGCAAACCACATCCCTAAGAACACTACCACGGGCTGAACTGGAGGATCAAACAACTGCCTGCAGGTGTGGACTGAACAAATGCCATGCCATTTCTCCTATCCTGGTGCCCATCCACACACACCATAGATGAGTGTCCTTTACAGAAAGTCAATTCAGGCCAACAGGTCTGAAGTCTCACTTAGACCCATGACCATTATAGCAAATGTAAAATGAATTTCAAAATGGCTTTTCGTTTTGGTAAAGAACTGGAGGGTCAAGAGGCAGCCCTGAGAATCAAATTATCCCAAGCCAACAACAGAAGATCTTGAGTCAGGCCTGGCTGGGATACACAGACATTCTGCCTAGAGCACAC